CTCACCCCTCTATACACCCCCTCCCACCTCCCCTCCATCTCACCTCTCTCACCCTGTGTTCTCTCTCGCCCTCTCATTGGTTCCTCCAGGTCATATGGCCGCGCTCCGAAGATGATCCACCTAGAGTCAAATTTTGTCCAATTTAAGGAGGAGCTTCTCCCCAAGGAGGGCAACAAGGCGCTGCTCACCTTTCCCTTTCTACACATCTACTGGACTGAGTGCTGTGTAAGTAATGCCGGGGCGCGGTGGGAGGAGCTTCAACTTCAACATGTGTAGAAAAGCGCTGTGTATAGTGATGTCATCTGCCCTGGGGTATCATGGGTCTCTGGAGGTGTCCTGGGGTATCATGGGTCTCTGGAGGTGTCCTCTGTCCTGGGGTATCATGGGTCTCTGGGGGTGTCCTCTGTCCTGGGGTATCGGGGGTCTCTCTGGAGGTGTCCTCTGTCCTGGGGTATCATGGGTCTCTCTGGAGGTGTCCTCTGTCCTGGGGTATCATGCGTCTCTCTGGAGGTGTCCTCTGTCCTGGGGTATCATGCGTCTCTCTGGAGGTGTCCTCTGCCCTGGGGTATCATGGGTCTCTCTGGGGGTGTCCTCTGTCCTGGGGTATCATGGGTCTCTGGAGGTGTCCTCTGTCCTGGGGTATCATGGGTCTCTGGGGGTGTCCTCTGTCCTGGGGTATCATGGGTCTCTCTGGGGGTGTCCTCTGTCCTGGGGTATCAGGGGTCTCTCTGGAGGTGTCCTCTGTCCTGGGGTATCATGGGTCTCTGGAGGTGTCCTCTGTCCTGGGGTATCAGGGGTCTCTCTGGGGGTGTCCTCTGCCCTGGGGTATCATGGGTCTCTGGAGATGTCCTCTGTCCTGGGGTATCAGGGGTCTCTGGAGGTGTCCTCTGTCCTGGGGTATCATGGGTCTCTGGAGATGTCCTGGGGTATCATCGGTCTCTCTGGGGGTGTCCTCTGTCCTGGGGGGGCGGGGTCTCTGGAGATGTCCTCTGTCCTGGGGTATCAGGGGTCTCTCTGGGGGTGTCCTCTGTCCTGGGGTATCGGGGGTCTCTCTGGAGATGTCCTCTGTCTTGGGGTATCATGGGTCTCTCTGGAGGTGTCCTCTGTCTTGGGGTATCATGGGTCTCTCTGGAGGTGTCCTCTGTCCTGGGGTATCATGGGTCTCTCTGGAGGTGTCCTCTGTCCTGGGGTATCATGGGTCTCTCTGATGGTGTCCTCTGTCCTGGGGTATCATGGGTCTCTCTGGAGGTGTCCTCTGTCCTGGGGTATCATGGGTCTCTCTGGAGGTGTCCTCTGTGCTGGGGTATCGGGGGTCTCTGGAGGTGTCCTCTGTCCTGGGGTATCAGGGGTCTCTGGGGGTGTCCTCTGTCCTGGGGTATCATGGGTCTCTC